AGAAAACAAGAAAGAAAAGCTAACAGATCATTACACTTGACGGTGGAAATGACCAGAAGGTCGAATTCAACGCGGGTAGGAGAGAACCCTGGGAACGAGGTTGGGTCGAATTATAACTTAAATCCCAGAAAACCACAAAGCGGCTGTAAATGAAAAACCTAGCGACTCTCCGCAATGATTCTTCATCCGTAGTTCAATTGAACAATTTATAGTTTCGAAGACAAGGGCAATTTTGCTGTTTACGATAAAGATTGTTGAGATTTTTTAACTCCACGCAACCATGCCAGACATGCGATCCGCTGAATATCAAACGACAATCCCGCTAAAATTTCTCATAATTATACATAATTATGCGAATGATTGGACAATCAACCAATCAAAATCACTACCCGGTTTTCGGGTAGGTCGGTTGGTCGGTCGATTCAGAAGTTGCTGAGAGGAGAAAAGGACTCGAAGTAATCGTCTGAAATTCAGGCTACAGGACCTGCAGTATAGATCCACCTCGGCGGCTTCCCCTTTTCGCAAAGAAGCACGAATATACGTGTGTAAGTAAAACATGAGCTACAATAACAAGAGACGACTCAAACCAAAAAACTGTCAAAAAAATTCTACAGGGGAAGTACAGTTTGATTAAGTCTGGGATAAACCAGTAGGAGTGATGATTACACCTTAATTTAAGTGTCACAAAAAAAGGAGTAGCCTGGATCAAGGATATTCTCCAATAGGAAATCGCGAAAGGCGATGGGTCACGACTGTAATCTTGTGCGAATCAATCGTGCGTGACCTTTGACCCCTGCGATTTCCAAAAGGAAGCTTGTACTTAGGTTACATCAAGAATCCATGAAGAACACATTTTACCAATAAAAAAAACATAGGAAAGGTCATGTGATCATCAAAAAGTGCCAAGAGCGGAAAAAGTCAAAGAAACTTTTCTAACTTTCGCTGACAGAACGTTCTGTGATGTGTCGGTGGGGGGAAGGAATGACAAAAGTAACGTAACGCTCCTTTGGGAAGGAGCGTTACGTGACGAGACAAAAACGGCTGCGAGGGAGAATATGAAAAAATGAGACGACGAACAGAAGAACTTACGTGCAACACGAGCTGCAACAACAATGGCGCGAACCAGGGGACCCATTTCTCGAAGGTACCGGTAATTAAAAGGACTGGAAGCCTGTGTTTTAGTTCAAGATCGCGGTTTTATAGATTTCAAAACGATACAATACGATCAACTGATAAAGAAACAAAATGGACTAGTTAGGGAGCTAAAATCTGCACTATCATTCTTTAAAATATGGCTTTCACGCCCAAAAGGTTGCCGGGACTTTTTAAACGGACCCCAGAGCCATAAAATTATCCTTGATCACCCAGTGCCTCGTTCTTTGATAACTAAAAAACACTCACCTTCCGATCTGTGCCAGCGGTGATGATCTGTGATTCATCCGGGCTATAACAGATGGCTTTGAACATCGTGTTAGCAAATACGATTGTTCTCCTTACCATTGTCCTACAAACATTCAAGCGTCAACGTCAGCAGATTTTTAAGAATTGCTGGAACCAACTCACAGTTCATGTGTCATTAAGCACTAACAAGTCAAGATGGACCCCGAATATTCGACAAAATTTCAAAAAAGGTATAGCGGAGGGTTGGGGTGATGATCTCAGGGTAGAACCACCCTAAATGAATTTTCAACAATAACGCTGCTTTTGATATGAAGAATGCACCAAAACTAAGGGGGTATTTACATAAGATCGAGACGAACTCAGACCGGTACAAATTTGTAATTTGTGCAGCCGTTTACACGAGACTGGGATGAAATACTTTGTCGATTACATAAGACCGGTACAAAATCAAAAACAGGAGCTATATGACTTTCACAAGTCGACTCAGATTTAACATATTATTCACTATCTGTCCTAACGGGTAGTCAATTTGTGCCAGTAGACAGTGAGTAGAAAACCAAAGTCTTTACTGCTTCCAGAAAATTATAAGCTTTCTCTAACGCTCATCTGGTGACCTGTTACTATTTACTGCACAGCATCTCGGAATGGTGCAATCCCTCATATTAATCCAAGCATTGAAGCTACTTCTAAGTCTTGTTTACTGATGTTAGTCGTAGCAGTGTTCTAGTTTTGCTAGACCGGTACGAAAGTAACTCGTGTCGGGTCAGTGACCGAGACGAAGTCAGACCGATCTGAGTTCATTTTTAGGCCGGTCCCATGTAAACGCATGAAAAGAAATGTATGGAGACCGATACGAACTCATACCTGTCTGAGTTCGTCCCGGTCTCGTGTAAATACCCCCTGTTAAAGTGACGAGCTAAGAAAGAAAACATTACTCACTCTAAGTCCCACACAATGCAGGTGCCGTCTTTGCTAGCTGATACGCACTGTTAAGGAAAGGGCAGATAAGAGTTAAAGTGACTCACAGCAGCAAAGCAGTGATCTTTGTGTTACACAGACTTTTCCGAATGGTTCAATTATAGTCTTCCCAAAACTGCAGACAAAATTTTAATACGGAACAGAAGTGGACTGGTTCAACCCTAGCTAAGGAAATTGTTCACATGAAATCCACCTAATAACTCGTGAAATAAAGGTTGCATTCCTTTAAGCCAGACTTTTTTCCGATTTAGACAATCCAGATTGTTTGGATAGCACGGACGATATGTTCAGAGACGAGTTTAATCGGCAATTTCACGCGCAGTGCAAAAGCATGGTTAACAGCAATGTCCATACACACAAGAACCTGTTGTGGTGTGATGTCTCTATTTTACTTTTTTTTTTCCTCTGTGCGCGAGCACAAGAATCACTAAGATATAAGAAATGATTCACTTACATGTAACGTGGAATGTACCCCTAGCTAAGGAAATTGTTCACATGAAATCCACCTAATAACTCGTGAAATAAAGGTTGCATTCCTTTAAGCCAGACTTTTTTCCGATTTAGACAATCCAGATTGTTTGGATCGAAGCCGAAACAAAAATCTGGAATAAGATTGATCAATACAATAGCTGCCTACTGGTCTGATCTTCTTCTCAATTTCAACACATCGTTTGCTAAATTAAGCGTCTTCTCGAGGAGAAATGAAAAGAAAGATAGCTCTTTAACTAGTGGTGGTTCATACTGGGACTCGTCAACTTAAAATTATCTGGAATTTGATTCAAGACGGAAAATTCAGAGGACAATTACGAATTCTCAAGAGCTGAGAAGAGCGTTCCAAACACACACACACACACATTGGAAACTATAGTTTTACGGTGAGAAAATGCCAGCGTTTCCGCTTCCTTATGGATTTGGAGTTACAGGGGAACTTGCGTTTAATATACTATAATCCTTTGGCGGCATAGAACAAAGGAGGAGTGTAAAAAACTTTTGCCCAAAATAACCTTGACTCCCCGTGTTTATCCGCGATGAACGAGCACTACCCTGCAATCGAAAAGCAGTTTCGTTAAATGGAATAAAAATCTGGAACTAGGAAATCTGAACGATTCAAGTGCGGAGGTAGATCGTTCAGATTGTAATCTTAGATTGGTTTAGTCGTTAATGAAACAAAAAATCAAATTTTGGATCGCAAAAGCCGGATTTTGATTGGTCAAAAGGAATGCAACCAAAGTAAACTAGATTGGATTACATAAAGGGTGGAATAAATCAAGTTACAGTGCGACTACTGTAACCGGGGCCACGTAGACAAACAAATTACAGGAAAATAACAATAAGTTCCGAGAAAGTTGGTTGTGGGCCAACCAGGAGCTCGTACGAAAACAACATTAAGGTACTCGTTAAGAAAGCAAAATGTTTCACCAGACAATGTGTTTCTATTGGAAACTTTACATATAACACCCAGGAGATATATTTGCTTGACACAAGCTGTTATTTCGTCATCTACATGTACCAGCAATTTCTACGCTACCATTGCCGCATTTTGCATTATACAATAGCTAGAATATTCGCCTACTCAAATTCAATAGCGCGAGCGTGCTTCTAATTCCCATTGAGCACGCTTATGACGTCAATAAACTATACCTCGAGTACTTGTGGGCTTAGCAATCCTCCCAAGACGTCTCCCAAGTGCATTCATAACTCAACAGTACATGATGAAGCGTTAACCATGTGTTTTATAACTTAAATTTAAGAGAATACTTTTGAATTTGGGAACTGATTGTAGGGAAAAGAGGTGAGTGTTGTTGTTGTTGTCATCTGCGCGAGTTGTGCGGGCTATGGCGTGTTCAAATCATTATTTGCAAAGTTATTTATTTCAAAAAGATTTTTTCGGTGAAGTAATAGTTTTCCGACACCTCAATATGGATTTACAATCTTTTTAGCCGTTATCTTGAGAGACTTGATTAAACTTTCACTCGCAGTTTCAAGACAAAACCATAACTGTGAAGTAAACAAGTATATCACGTAGACATTGACGTGTACTGCTTTAAGGTAACTGCTGCATTGATAGCTTTGATAATGTTATAAAACAATTAGTTCATGCTTCCACTGAGTGTATGTCGAGACATTGAGAGGAGATATCATGTGCGTATGTCGAGATATCAAGAGGCTACAGTTTCTCTCGGCTGCGCCTCTAGCAACTCTTACGCCTCTTTCGTACTCTCCAAACTTCCCGCGTGCTCAATATCTCGACACTGTAACGCACGCTGACCCATGAACTAATTGTTAAGTAACAAGCGATCTCAAGTCAAAAATATGACTAAACTTTACATTTTTTGCCTCCGTCGACACACTCACGGACCTTTCAGGAAACATAGGTTTTCTTCAACATGTTCAGAAGATCACATCTGTAGCCTGTAATAGGTTGATTTCGATCCATGTTATTGATTCCGTTTCATGATATTAATGACCGACAACAAACTTTCTCAAAATGTGTTATTTTTACCTTTTTGTCAGCTTACCGCAAACACTTCAGCTGCGAAACGACCTTGATACGCCTTACTGAAGATTGGAAGCATGCAGCAGACAAAGAGCATGCATCAGTGATATTATCCACGGACATGAGCAAAGCTTTTGACTCATTACATCCAAATTTGTTACTGGCAAAGTTAAAAGCCTATGGGCTGTCTGACCCCGCTTTGGGATTAATGCGATCTTATTTTGATGATCGGGAAAACAGAACAAGAGTTGGCAACTACACAAGTGATTGGAAAGCTGTCAAACGAGGCTGCCCGCAAGGGTCATCCTTAGGACCGCTGTTGTGGAACGTGTATCAAAACGATTTATTCTACACTGGCGTTAAATCTCAGTTGTCTGCCTATGCCGATGACCATCAGATCTACTGCTCCAATTTGAATCTGCACTTTGCTATAGATAGAATTAAGGAAGATGGGGAAGAGACATCGAGGTGGTATAAGACAAATTTTCTGCAAGGCAATTATAGCAAATACCAAGCAATGGCTATAGCAAGGGACACACAACAAATGCAGCTAGTGATTGAATTAATTTACCGATGCATTCAAACTGCTAGGCATAATTATTGATAAGGACTTGAATTTCTCGCAGCATATATCAGAGGTCTGCATAAAAACCAGTAAAATGATTGGTGTTCTTCAAACGCTAAAGAATCTGATCCCGATGAACGCCAAACTACGGATATATAAAACTGCAGTTTTACCCCATCTCACATACTGTAGCTTGGTGTGGCACTTTTGTCGAGCAAGCGACAGAAACAAGCTAGAGAGAATTAATGAGAGAGGACTACGTACAGTCTTCAAAGATCGAGTCTCTCCTTATGGTGACCTTCTTACACACGCTGGAATGACTAGTCTATATAACATGAGATTACAAGATATCGCTATCTTTATGTTCAAAATAAGGAATAGATTACTGCCTTACAACATACTAGAACTCTTCTCGTCATCGTCTTCGAATTACAACCTGAGGAACTCGGACTTTCACGTTCAAAGGGTAAAAACTGTTAAATATGGAAAGCATTCCCTCAGATTTTTTGGGCCATTTTTATGGTCAAAATTGAGTATGAAGGGCAGAAACGAGACCTCCTTAAGCAGGTTTAAACCAAATATAAGGAGAAAAGATCTGAGCAAATTGGTTAGTGATAACGCATGCAAAGGGTGCCACCTGTGTGACTCATAATTCATAAACAGGAAATATCATAACTGGTAGAGTTGATATATTACGAAATTGTATATATAGTTTTTTCTTATTTATTACATATGTGTATTTTCGAAGCATATTGAATATCGTGTATCTTTTAAGTAGTTTTTAGAATAGTTAAATCTTATTGCCTTATAGTATTATGTATATATATTTCTTATTAATAAGTTATTTAAGTAGAGTCCCCGATTAGTAGGCCTGACGGCAAGCTAGAAGACTAGACACTTAAATAAAGTTGTTGATTGATTGATTGATTGATTCCTGTAATCCAATTGGTCAACGTTGTCTAGTAGATGGCCCCGATTATAGTAGTCGCACTGTAAACCTACATGAATATAGAGTTATAAATCATAATGACGAGATACCTCACTGTCATTCTTACGAACTTTAATTGCAGTAACTTCACCTGAATAAGAAGTTGTAAAAAAAAGTTGGCAAAATGTTAACTTACAACTTAGATGAAGACTTGCCCGTTGTGCAAGCATTTATAAGATTATAATTTAATTAGTGTTTTCTCTCAGCAAGAGAAAACCTACAATAGGCTGAATGTTAGACAGCAGCCCGCCGGCAGCACAGCTTCAATTCGCATAGAGTGTATGGGTGTGGTTCAAGGTAAATACGCTGCACCTTGATCATTTTTCTAACTCTTTGAATGAAGCTGCAGTATGATTCGTGAATATGTTGTAACCTATCCATACGAACTGGTAATCAATATGAGATTCATTTCAGCTTTAATCGAGTATACAGTCAATTCCCTCTAAGACGGACACCTTTGGGACCGGCAGTAAGTGTCCGTTTTAGAGAGATGTCCGTCTTATAGAGAGTCAAATAAAGGGAGTAAAGAAAGGCAGGGACCAACTCTAGGAGTCCGTTTTAGGGAGGTGTCCGTCTTATAGAGGTGTCCTTTAAGAGAGAGTCGACTGTATAAAAATGGTGTACAAATATTTGCAGCCATAGGATTCTGTCTACATGAAAAAGTCTATATCTTAATTTTGTGCGTTTTACTATCCGTCTATTGCATACTTAGTGGAGTCTTGAAAACTCGAGGTCTGTCCTTGTGTACGTTGTTGTATGAAAAAATCGTTTCGACCGAGAGAAGAATTCTTTACTGCTTTAATCATCACAAAATATTTTCAAACAATTCAAACGATCGAACAGCTTTGTTGTTGTTGTTGTTGCTAAGCGAGACGATCAAATACTAGCTGTTCAAAAGTTAGACTGCACTTTCAACCGAATAAATTCATTAGATCGGTGGGTGAGTGAAATCAATTACATTATCCACTGGACCATTTGAACAACTGGTAAATGAAACGGTTGGGGAGATAAACAAGTAACTGAATAGAAATTACTATACAAATACATGACGGATAGGTAGGTTTCCATACAATCGCATGGATCTTCCCAGGATAATTGGTCTTTTCGCCCCGGTTAGTTAGCCCCCTATTTTTGAGTCATGAATATTCAACATATTTTGTTCTTTAAGCGATGTCAAAGGTTACTTAGGGGGCTAAGTATCCGGGGCGAAATGACCGTAGAGCCGTCCCAGTCGCTCCAAATTGTCAAGGAGGTTATAGAGGTAACGTCAAGCTAAAAAATTTATTAAGGATAAATTGGGAAAAAACGAAAAGAATTGACTTTGCAAAGAAAGTCGTTTTTACCTTTATGCTGCTCTTTCATGGCGTCCTTTAATTTGCACGTACGTTCTCCAATTGACCAGAGTCGGACTTCTCCCTCTCCTCCCCCACTGATGACCTCGTCCCGTGAAAAAGTGGTTGCTACAGCTGTGACACCCTTGTTATGGGCATTGTCTATCTCATACAGCAATTTGCCAGATTCTGGTGTGAACCCGCGTATTTTACCGTCATTCCAACCTGAGAGTATAACTTAATCAGTACTTGGGGGTGGGGGATGAAGGGTGGACACTAGATCTTTTTCATTCTATTCAGTTATTATTGTTGTTGTTGTTGTTGTTGTTATTATTATTATTATTATTATTATTGTTATTATTATTATTATTATTATTATTATTATTATTCCCGAATCTTAGTGGAAACTCCTTTAATCACACCGACCGTCAACATCGTTCCCAGGTTCTATCTCCAACAAGGTTGACCGATCGTACCCTGCGAACGAAGCCGTATTCCCAGTTGTCGTCAAAAAAAGCGTCTGCTCACGCAGGCTACACCGATTATTGCTCAGAACAGAGAGCTCGGTTTCCCTGCAGCCACTGTTTCCGATCTTAAGACTAGTTTACTTACGACAAAATTCTTTGAAGATTGCCCGGCAACCAGCTTAAGAGAGGGGCTATTACAAGTCGGCTTGAACCAGGGCACCTGGAAGATTAACTAGTCAAAACGTTTTTCTCAAGTTTTTTGCAAACGGAAATTCAAGTATTCTACTATGCAACCGTTGAAAACTTTAAAACCGTTTGAGCTTACCTGACCTCTCAGGAAACAGCCCTCGAATTTACGAATGCTATCGGTCTGTTTGCAAAAAAACTTGAAAATCTTTTGTTTTGATTGGATAACGTTTTTCCAAGTGCCCGAGTTCAAGTAGTCTCACTGTAAATAAGCTGAAGGAAACATAAACAAATGAAATACTAAGTGCATATACGACGATAGGTAAATATTGAACTACAAATAAAGTCATTGTAAAATTTTGCCAGTGAATTTTGATAAAACGTCTGCATTTGCTCCAATCTAAGGGCCTTATGTCAAGAATCATTATTTAATTCTTACCACTTATGATGACATGACCACCTTGCATTATAGCAAGAGCATTGCAAGTCATATTAGGTACAGTGATTCGCACAATCTCCTGGTTTGTCTTGGTGGACCAAATACGGATTTCACTCTTTGCACAAGTAAGAAATAAGTCGGAACAGTCACTACAAACAAATTGAAAACACTTCAATCAATGTATGTGCTACCATGTTACTTATTATTTTATATAAGTTCTACAGGGTAAACTTGAAACGGAAGAAGACAGATCAGAAAAAGTAAAAGTAGTGTCAGTATAAATAGGATTATAAAATAGCTAAGATAGTACGCGCGTTCTGATTGGTTTAAAACCTATGGTTTATTGTGCCAGTAAACTCATAGACAGCGTGCGTAGCAGGCGCTAGGAAATAAATAGGAGCAAGAAAGAACGGGCGCGCGCGAGGGAAAAGCTTGAAAATCACTAGCTTTCGGCTCGTGATTTACAAGCTTTTCTCGTGTTCTCCCAACATCCCGCGTGGGTTATTACGCTGGTAAACTCATAGAAAGTGTGGTCTGTTACTTAACCATTTACATGTACTATTACTGTAGTAAAATTTCAAGGATCATACTGTGAGTTTTTTAAAATAAAATCCGTTTTGTTCATGAAACCGTTTTTAAAGCAAAAACAAGTAAATGACACCGTAGGTTTGGGCTAACTAGCATGCATAACAGGCGTTATTATTATCACAGTCGAACCTCTCATAACGGCCATCTTAGGGACAGAAGAAATCAAAGTGGCCGTTGTGGGGAGGTTGGGGTGTTATATATAGAGGATATTACATGGCCGCGCGGAGATACGAAATTTCTCTTCGAGTGTTCAAAAATATTTCACTCGTTCGCTGCGCTCACTCGTGAAATATTTTTTCAACACGAGAAGAGAAATTTCGTATCTCCAAGCGGCCATGTAATGTTCTATTTATTACATCAACACCAATGAAATACCAAACCATTTCACTTTAATAGTTTTTTGGTGTGAAAGGCGCGATTTATTATGTAGCCATAGCAACGGTGATATTTTCACATGCGAAGGTATCAAGTTTTCGCGCGAAAGCTCACCTGGTATTTTATTGGTGTTTACATAATAAGGCAATTTTTGCGCTAAGTTCATCCTTACTGTATCTCATAATCATGGTAATCCAATCATATACAATGTATAGAGATAAAATACACAAAAAGCTTGAATTATGTCGTGAATCAAAATGTTAACGTGACAAAACGAGCAAGGTTCGCAACATTCGCTTTAAGTATCGTAGACAATTTTGCGGCTCTAAATGAAACAAAATCAAAAGACGATTGCCACGATTGATAATAAACGTGCCATACGGATCAACTCGTGACCATTATTGACTTTTTCATCAGTCGCTGAAAAAAAAACTGGCCGTGGTCGAGAGGTTAGGGACTTTAAGATAGGTCACTATGGTAGGCTGGGACGGTTGGATGCGTATACGGGCGGCCTGGGGCCATGACGGTAAGAAGCCGCGAAAATTTTCAATTTAAGATCGGACAACAAAACAGAGGACGGTGAAGTCATGTGCGAAACTCGCTTGTGATTTCTTTCGCAGAAGGCTGAAGAAGAGTTTCTTATTTTATACGAAGAATACCAATCAGAAGAATAAGGGTACAAATTAACGCTAGCTAGTTTTCAAAACTGTAGTCGACGTTTTTATTTGAACTTTCCTTTCCTAAGCCAACACCTTTTGAGTTAAAGAAATCTTTTCTTGAAGAGTTTCTTAAGTTGTAAGCAGAGTGACGCTGAGACAAAAGACTTTGTAGATATTCCGGAGCAAGGTCATTCATGGTTTTATACATCATTAAGGCTTTTTGTTTCTTTCGTCGAAGAGATATAGCCTCTCCCAGCTGAGGGTGGACAGAAGGTGGTTTGAGCTCGCATCAAAGGGTGATTTAGTAATAACTCTGGCTGCACGATTCGGTAATTTTTGGAGCTTATCACTCAAGTAACCACTCAAACAGTCCCAGACGGGGCTGCAGTAATCAAAATGAGGCATAATTAATGCGTTATAAATTTGAATTGCAGTTTCTTTTCACTTGTTTAAAGCATTCTAGACCACTAAACATCGTGAAAATGAATCGAGTTCGACTACACTTTAAGTTCCACGCCTCAATCAACCTCGAACCATTTGGGTCGACCTAAATAGGTATTAAGTTCGGTACATGAAAAGGTCAACGTTTGAACTGGGCCTTACCTTTCTTTTCGGCAATTTTCCTCTGCCATGGCGGACGACACTAGGTAGAAAACAAGCAGTCGCCATGCGGCCGCGAGCTAAGTTATGAATGAACTCAGACATTTTCGCTTTTTTTTTTCATTTCACCGATAAGTAAATCAACGTAAACACAAGCCAACGCATATTTAACCCATTGGCTAATCAGTTTTAGAAGAAAAGTGACAATAATTATGCATGAACTCTTATCGGTTTCACCGTTATCTTCACGACGAGAAACCCGGCGAAAACATACCGTCCCAGAAGGACGACGGTAAAAGGTCACGCGTGTTTTGCGTTACGTAACATCTATCTAACCGTCCCAGGATATCGTAGTGACCTATCTTAAACTCCCTACTGTCAACAAGTCTTGCTTCTTTCCTTTCTTTGACATATTCAAATAAAAGACAACAGGAACTCTTACACAGGAACTCTTACACGAAAAAAAAACTACAGTATTTAAAGACACAAAAAAGGAACAAATAACGCAAACTATCCAGCTTCAAAAAACGCGGCCATCATCATCGCTGACCGCTGACCGAGCGGGAACTTTAGTAAACGTAGTTGGTTGTTTTATCATGCGACAAGAGAGAATGAGCTAAGAGATCGACTCCCCCATACATGACCCTCTTTCGATGAAAATTATATGAACTCTCTTCTTGGTTTTGTTTCATACTGCGTGGTTATTTTAAGAGAGATTTAACCGAGGGTCCTTTTTGATGCAAATTCCATGTTTTTGCTAAATGTGCACGTGTATATGAAACCTGAAAACAATGCCAGTGAATAATGAGGACGCTCACTTGTAAACACAAAATCTGGGGGGAAAATTGGTTATTAATATATTTGAGGCCCTATTCTAAAGCTGCCCTGTTTTCAATGTTCTTGAAACTTGCAGGGAATATTTCTTGACGATTGATATCGGGATTGTCAAATTTATAAAAAAATTTATCGAGCGGTTTTAGGAAAAATGCGAAATTTTTAGGCATGGACCAAATTACGTCCTAAAACTGTATCAAAAGCAGCTGAATGCAAGCTGATAAAATTCTTCTTTCTCGCGATCGCCCAGAGCAATTTCCCTCTTTTTTGTATGAAGTTTTCAACGGAATCAAACCACTATGAGATGAAGCCGCGTTCTCAAAGCTTATAATTTTCTTAAAATATAAGCGAATTGTGTGGCTAGCATGCTATTTCACTGTTTTTATGATTCTTAAAACTGCATTTCAAAATATTTCGAAAACGCTCTCATAGAATTTGATCAAACTTTGCCATAATGGAGGCAATTATGGCAGGTACATACTCCCTTAAGCGATTTCTTCAAAAAGACTCCTGGTACAGAGAAACACAAAGATAAATGAAAAACGTTATGGCGTCATTACGTTACCATGGCGACTCCAATTGCAATAAAACCCAGATCATAAGAAATTTTCATCTTTATGTAATACAGCTGTGGTAACCTTTTTTCCATATCTTTACCCATGCCGACGTAGTTAATGCTCAAACTGGGGAGGTATCAAACCCAAAAAATCCAGTCGAGCTACCTCAAGGACCCTTTCCTATTGGTCGGTTAGAGTGGTGTCATGCAATTTTAAACTTGGCGGGAAATTCATTTCATGTCACGTTCACCTGAAAGTAGGTCACGCGGGTCACGAAAACAGCAGATAAAAATAACCTTTGCCGCACGCCCGCGAAGTTTAAATAGATTTCAAATGATTATCATGGTGCACAGGGATCCGCTATTAGCTCAACCTCTCTTGCATGTGATTACCAGCATTCAGTTCTATAATACATTCTGAACTGACTGACACATCTTGCACTTACGAGGGAAATATGACGTCATTGACTGGTGAGTAGTGACAAGTCTTGACTCTAACAGGGCTGATTCCAACAGGCTTTGTCTTGGCAGATGCAGATCTTGACGCTTCAAATTGGGTGTAGCTGAACATATACATTTGAGATTTTTTGGTTCCCACAAAGAACTGTAAAGCATTTCAAGCAACAGAGTTAGCACAGGCCAGTACATGGGCCTCACTCAAGCTCTTTAATATCTATTTATTCATATAAGATAACCATTAAAAGAAATTTTGTTACAGAAAAAGATTCCATACCATAGAACTTGTACATGTATGTGCAAAGAAATGGTCATGAGTGAAATTAGGGAATAATTTCACTCACTTTTGTCCAAATTCCTTTGGGTGAGGGTTCTCAGGGCAAAATGCAAGTGAAATCATTCCCTAAATTCAAGGGAATACCATTTCATTACATAACTACATCATGAGTGATAAATTATGCTCACATTTTGGTTTTTTGACATGTTTATTGTATCGATCAAGAACATCATGCACTGAAAAGTTTTGAGCTTAAATTTTGACTTAAGATCAGAATTTTCAGAATTTTTCGACAATTAACAATTTAATACCTGATAGAATCCTTCTTGCTGTGCTCTTTTGTGTGTTTTAAGTTTACATGTATTTCTCTAAAGTGCCTTTTAATCCCCTTACATCTTCACTCATAACAGCTTTAAAACCTTTACACCATCTTGGTACTGAGACATGAAGGTGGAACAAACATTGCCATAGCAATATTGTAATTTCACATGTGAAATTAATGCTGAAATTTTGTGCCAAAATGAAGGAGAGATTTGTCACCCATGCAGCAATTGCCTCCTAAAGTTTCAGCTTTTGGCTCCCTAAAAGTTATTTTTGGCTTTTCTAATAAACTCCCAAAGAAATCGTACTTCGATGCCAAAATACTAAAAGCAAATTCCCACACCCGTCAAAGTAAAAGCTGGCCTACAAGAAACAGCAAGTTGAAAATAAAAGTCTGTAACATCACCTTTTTTTTTTCTACCATGTACCAGTTTGGTCTTACCATAAACCCGAAAGTTAATAGTTGATTTAACAGTAAAGCATTTTGAAGTCACCTGATGTCCTTCTCCTCGCAATGCTATTGATGAGACTCCACTGTCCAATTTGATTGACCTGTTCAAAGAGAATCTATTAATACAATGTAATCCCCTACAGTATAACACTCATTAGTAAAATCCAACTAGAGGTCTATTATCAATGCTGCGTTCTGATTTGTTGAGTTACTACTAGGCTATATGTTATAGCCCACTAGGAGCGCAAAGCGCACGCTTTTTGGCGGTAAAAAAGGCTTAAAGTCTAGCTTTAACTAGCTAAAGTTGTTTTGTCTCGATATTTTTGACCAACTAGTTGGATTTTACTAAAACAATTATTCCTCTCGCCCTCATGCCTCTGAGTCAATAGCCCATTTGGTCTTCGGCCTCATGGGCCATTGACTCAGAGCCCATTCGCGCTTGAGGAATAATTGTTTATTATTTGCTCAAAATATTTATCCATTTCTTATTGGCTAAAAGCACACGCATAATTCACCAAACCACCTATTCAGGGGTTTCAATAATAATTGAAATAGCCGGCAGGTTTGAATAGACTAAGTGACTGTATTAACAAGGGGCAGTTAGTCCCCTTCTTCTGGAGGGGACTTGGGGACTGGCGTGCTCCCTCAGAAACTTTTGGAATTTCAAAGCCCTAAAATGCGATTTCCAGTATTCCGGGGACTAAATTGAGAACAGAAGAGCGTGTTGTTCATTCCAGAGAATATAGCTTCACTCAGGTTTCATAACCACACAATCAATTCTTACAAGCATTAAACAAATGTCGATATTCAAAATTAAGTACGTTTGCACATAAACAAATTCTGCGTAAACCTACAAAGAAACGTGGGAAAAATTGACTGAAATACAGCGTTTGTGTAACCAGAAGCGCTTCAGGGGTAACTAAAGCATAACATTAGTTGGACCTTGAAAGCACATCATAATTAACTTACGTTTTAATTCAGATTTAACGATATATCTTTCGTTCACGACATTTTTATCTTGTTAACTTGTGGATTACGCGTAGCGTAAGGAGCAAGTTATTGTGGGCACTGCGATATGCAAATGTGTCACTCAGATGTAGACACCTTTCGTAAATCAGTCGGCTCCGCACGAAAGCGCCCGATATCAAAACGACAACTGTCGTAGATCGTTCCCGTTCCGCGATGGGCTGATTTTGTACATTTCACAGGAGTCACAGGACGATTGTCTTCAATGTGGACTTTGAATGTTTCAAATTAGCACTATGGCCAACTTTGATACAGAAGTTTATGGTCTTTTGAAGCTTTTTGGCTCGTCTTCCAAGCTGGTCCAAGCTCACGATTCTGTCGTGAGTCGCACGATTTTTTAACTTTTCTCACGACAAGACTCCCAATCTCATGGTTTTTAGTGAATATGATTCTGCACTAAAATGTTTGTTTGTTCATTAAAAACGGAAATGCTTACTATCGCTGAATCGTAATTGTTTCTCCTCATGTAAACGCCGAGAATCGAAAGCTGAAAGAGACTTGACGACGGTTTTGCGAGACACTTGGCGGCCATATGTTCTTGAAATGCGACAAAATGAGTTAAAGTGCGGCTTTAACTGACAAAACCCTGCTTGTTTTCCTCGAATATATCTTTCAGTTCTTCATAAATAAGGCTTTGCCAGCTTTAAACAGCATCGAGCGGCCGGTCGAGTGTTGTGTTGTGGCGCAATAAATAACGCGTTCACCTTCCACGTCGGGGATCCGGAGTTCGACTCTCCAAACTTTTTTTCTTTTTTAAGGGGGGGAGGGGGGCCTTTGTTTTTTTGTTGTTTTCTCGTAAAACATATTTTCATTTTTTTGACAGATCTAAAATATACCGGTAGACTAATTGCAAGTTCATTATCAGCTTCCATTTCTAAAATACAGTAATTAATAATCCACCCTTTGATTAAAGCTAATTGCTTCTTTTTCGGGGAAAAAAGTAGGCGACGGCTCTGAGCAAAGTACAAATGTAGCCGACGCGTTTCGTCGGTCGTCGGTTTAAACCCCTACCTACTGATGACCAAATTTGGAAGAATTTTGCGATTAATTAACCGATGACGTCAAAAGTGCAGCATAGCTGTAGGTTAATTTAGCGTTAACCGAGAAGACCTGGGGACGATGTTGAGTTGTTTTGGTTGTGAAAACAAAAATGGCGGACATTTCACTCGTTTCAACAGTAAGAACTAGGCGAAATAACAGCTAAAAAAATGGCAAGAACAGCAAGAAGACAACTCGAAGGGCGACATCTGCGGAGCTGAACAACCCTAAACGTGAACTATAAAAGATGATCTTAACATTGATGGAGGTAAGCATTGTTTTAGCTAGTATGTTTTTAAACTAGGAATTATTTTGAATCTATAATAAAACAGTTATTGCATTCGGCTTTCGTATCATATGAAGAATTATGGAGATCTCATAGAGTGTTATCCGCCTCGGCCCATGGCCTCGACAGATAACACCCTCCTCGATCTCCATAATTCTTCATAAGATACTCAGTCTCATTCATTCTATAAACTGTCAAATAATTCTTCCCCTGAAAAGAAGGGGCATATTAGAGGGAGGCTTACTTGATAGGGCGGCTTAATACAGAGGATTTATGGTAGGCCAATTTCTTTTTCTCACTTTTATTAATTGAAGAGACAAAGTATAGGTCAGCAAAAACCTAAAAAAACAGGGGCACCCAATGAGAATATAGTTCAAAACCACTAAAACATAGCATTGTTAAACGTATTTTGGTATTTAAACGGTAGATATAGGCATATTTTTATCCCCTAGAAATTTTTCATCTGTTCGGGTTTCCTGGTTGAAAGTTTAGTGATCCGAAAATTATAGGGATCAAAACTTACCTTTTCGAAAATTTCAGCCAGAAAAAAGGCTCCCGAAAATTCTAGGTGACCTTTTTAGGGTAAAAATCCGTTAAAAATAGGCAATTATACCATATTTTAGATGTTCGAAAATCCTAGGAGAAGCAGGCAAGCGAGAAATTTTACAACAAATGTTCCGAAAATTCTAGATCTCAAATCGTCTTCCGAACAGATATTTTTCCGAAAATTGTCGTTGGGTGCCCCTGAAAAAAAAACAGAAAGAGGCCAATATCCACCCATCTTGATCAAAATTAAAATTAAATATGTCCAATTAAAGGACTTTATAATGAAAGGGACCAACATGCAAATTCCCAAGCACACCTTGCCCACTCAGGTGACCAATCAAACCTTAGGATTCACCTCACCATTGCCCAGCCACCCACACCCAAATAACTAATACATGTAATACAGAATACTGCATGTACATTTAGAACATCAACCAGTACATGTGCTACTCTTGATTGGATTCTTGACTTTCCATTAATTCTTGCACACAACCATAACCATCATATCTTAAATTATTTAATACCTTATTACATCCACTTTGAAATCACTGGCTATCTGTGCAATCTGATTGGCTCTCAGCAGTGTGATTTATTCCTAAATCGCACCATTTTTTGGATCTGTTCCAAATGTCATTCATGTTTCCATTCGCACCATTTTTGTTCTATATCGCATTATTTCTGTTTCGAAGACAAAATGAGATGTAAAACCTTTTTGTTTCGCTTTTTAACAAATACTTGATCAATAAAATATTAGTACTGACTAAATTTTAGTGGTAATTTTATTTTGGTCTGAAACCTTGTGATTTCAAATCGAATTCGCGCTGCGCGCTCGTTCAATTTTGAAATCACGCGTATGATTTCAGACCAAATTGCACTCCACTCAGTTCAATTACCATTATTAACCATACAGTAATTAAGGCAAGACTCACTGAGTTTTCTTGAATTTTTCTTTCTCTTTTTTTATGATGGCAACAGTTCCGTCACCAGCACCAACTAAAAATTCACCAGTCTTTAGGATACGGATGGCAAGCACTCCGCAGCCCAGAAGGTCATTGTCTTTGGGGCCGTAATCAAGCAATAAGCAATTCTTCTCAATGACCTGAAATGAAAATCAGCAGATGATAGTTAAATATTTGTCTGAGTCTGATTCCCCTCCACCAGTTTATTTGAAGGGTTCTTGATGATGTTTTAAATTAAAAGTTCATAGAACACTCTTCATCCCTTGTACACTAGGTGAATATTAACAAATTTTTAGCTGAGTTTGGGTCAATTGTTGTGAGTCAAGAGTGCTAGAGAGTAAAAAGAGTACAAAATTGAGAGTGAAATGTCAAGGGTCTGAGAGATGATCATGATAATTTAATAATAATGATAATAACATTGTATATACTGCATAAATGATCTACATAGACACCCAGGCCTCTTGTCTGATAATTGAGGATGGTGCCCACTAATTAGACTGCCAGCAGTCCCTCTTCAGTCAGTCGTGTCTAAGCTCGGCAGGACTGGAATGTGAGACAAGTAGATCATATCAGCAGCTATTGAAATCCAAAAAGAAAACTGGGGGTAACCGCTCATTTTTCAGAGATAACTGCGTCCAATATCATATGGGGAAAAACGCTGAATAGGCATTTTTTAGAAAAATGATAAAAAGTTATTTTTTTCCCCAAATTTCAGAGTGTACACGTAAACTGGCACAAGTGCAATGATAATTGCAACAAGGTTTCAAAATAAGCAACAAATGATAACATAACAACTGCTCTTTATACGTATTTTTTTGAAATATCAGCACAACTGGGAAGTTATCAGCAGTTGTACCCCTCTACACGTTTAGTTACACAACATTTTCCCCGAACCAAAAATTGATCCTTTGCTGAGTAGGCTTATTACTTTCATTTGGTGAGATAAAAAGTAGGGGTTACTGCGCGTTTTTAGAGGTCAAATTGGTTGGTTTCGACCTTAACTTAATCAGTTAATTATGAAAATAGACACCTCTCTCTTTTAAATGCCTTTCATCAATTTAACACCCTCTCCTAGATACCTGAAATTAAGTAGATGCCCAGGTGTCTAATTATCATTTTTGGTCATCAATATGCAGTTCACGTTAATTACTTAATCAGCGGAAGCGCACAGTAAAGTATTCACACAGCTCAGGAATGTTTCAAAGTTGCATCCGGAGGTCCAAAAGTTGCTTTGGAATTAGTTCGAGATATCTTCAAGTTCTTTTGATTTGTTCTTTCAGGGGAAAGAAAAAATTATGAGGAAGAAATATATTTCTTTTGGAAGAAAAAATTTATAAAGAAGAAATGATTATTATTTCTGGCTTGCCCAGGGTTTGAACCAGCTTACGTGTGACCTGTCAGATCAGCTAAGACTCTAAATTGAGGGATTAGCCAATTGCGCCACTGCGACACAAGGTACTGTGATTTGCCCAGAACCTTCCAACAAAATTGGCCGTTTTTTACCGATTGTCTTTCGGCGAAGTTTGCCCCTAAAATTCCTGCATAAATCCACGAATTTGTCTCTGAAAATTCTGCAAAATTTGAGTTTTTTCTATGACTTTGACCTATCGGAAGCTTGCCCGTGTTCATCTTTTTCATATCACAACATTGTAATATGCTACAATATGTTACAATTAAAGAAGTACAATTTGAACTAAAAGAGTTTTATATAATTACCTCAAGAATATCCCCAGTAGTTGTTCCACAGTAAAAGACACTGTCATCCTTGGCCATCTACATGTATTTAGAAAAAACAGACAATAATAAAAATTAGCTATTGCCCAATATAGTTGAGCAATAACACAACTTTTAACTTTCGGCTAAATTTGCACCACAGAGATAAGCTGACTTTATAATTTTCTTATTAATCAGGGCTCAAAATTGCGATTGATACGGTCGCCAATGCGACTAACATTTTCCCCTTGGCGACTAAAAATTCAAGTTTAATCGCCAAAGTGGCAACCAGATTTCTCTATGATTTAGATTTAAAATAAAAGAATAAAGTTAAAACAAACATTTCATCTTATCCTGCTTTGCTTTCATCATAAAACATGTGCCAAATCGCATAAATAAAGCCAGTTTACCTCCAAATTTATACCGACTTCTGTCCACGATATTGTCAAATCTGATGGATCGCACCATACTATGCAGGGCTTCTGATAGGTCGCTTAAAAAAAGTCAAATTTCGCAGGATTTTTAGGGGCAAATTCGCTGAAAACTCGACCGATTTCACAGGAATTTTCGCTGCAAACTTAGCTGAAAATCAGTCGGTCAAAAAAGGCCGATTTTGTGGTTATTTTCCAGGAAAACTTCGTCAGAGATCCATCGGTTTTTGCGCTGACCAGACCAGCGTTTTTAATGTTTTTCTAACAGAGTCATCATTTGCTCTTTCAACAACAATACGCTCCAGAACTGAACCAATGGCAAAGCCGTTAACATCATGGCTAGTGCCCAGTTTTTCGCAACATAATCACGCCTGGAAGTTTCGGAGTTACGGGACGTTGTTTGCACATTTCAGTGACGAAGTTTCAAGATAAATTTACAAGTTTACGGCAAGTAAATAGCCCCAATAGCTGAGAAAAGTTTCAAATATGTTGTACAGACATGTATTTGATAAGATTTTCGACGGCGCAAAATATCAGAAGCCCTGACTATGAGCTGCGTCATTTACATTATACGAACTGCAGGGCTTCTGATATTTCGTGCGGTCGCGGACCCGCGAAATTCAGGTATTTCCGCGAAATCCCGCAAAATTCCCACAAAAAAGCAAAATACCACGAAATCCGCCAGAAATATTTCCAAATAGATGTCGGCAAAACATATTTAATACTTATCTTGGCTATTAGACCTGTTTTATTCATCCCAAACGTCCAAATTTTTATCTTGAACCTTCGTCACGTCAACGAGTAAACAACGTCCCAAGACTAGCAGGCGGTTTTAGATGAACGTTGCAAAAAACTGGGCACTAACCATAATGTTAATGGCTTTAGCATTCGCTCATTTCTCGAGCGAACTGTTGTTGAAAGAGCAAATGATTATCCTTGTTAAAAAAACGTGGAACAACGCTGGTTATATCGACGCAAAATTGATCGAATTTAGCGAAATTTGCCAAAAAAATCCAGCGAAATCGGCTGTTTTTTACTGATTGTTTCTTGGCGGAGTTTCCCTCCAAAATTTCCCGTGAAATCGGCCGATTTTTCTAAGAATTTGGCCCTGAAAATCCTTCGAAATTTGACTTTTTTCCGCTAAAATCCCGCGAAACCGGCCGATTTTTCCCCAAATTTTGACTTTTTTCCCGCGAAATCGGCCGATTTTGAAGCGAATTTTGACTTTTTTCCCGCGAAAATCCCTAGTTGGTCGCCAAAAGGCGACCAGAGGATTTTTTTAATTTTGAGCCCTGTTTAATAATATAAATGGCTTGGTATACCTGAATGCACTTTACGGTCCGTTTAGCTTTTCCCAATACAACATCACGAGGGCGTATCTTGCGATTTTCCACATCTAAATCCCAGACTCTCAAGGTGTTACTACAGTAAAACAAGAAAATAAAATTATTGTAGATTGAAATTTACAAAATCCTGCTGGCATAAATGTGTGCATGTACACTGTAGCAGAAGTTAGAAAAATTAAATGTCTGTCTAATTAGACACTCAGAACAACATAACTTGTATAAACAAGACAGTAGACATACTCTCCACCAGTGACAAACTTCTTATCATTCAAGTTAGCATAAACCACTGCAAATGTAGTTCCAGCACTTGGTGTTCCTGCGGGGCTTCCACAAATTGCCTCCCCTGATTTTACATCCCACACCACGATGCTGTGAAGATAAAGAACAAAGTAATGACTGTCATTACGTTATACACAAGCAGATGTACACAAACAGTAACACACAGGAAAGAATAACAGATTCCCATTTTTAGATATTTTAGGGTATTTAAAGAATACCACAAAAATCCCAAATTTGGAAGAGTAAGACAAGTCCCAATCAGGGAACTTGGTTGGGAATTCCCTGGTTGGGACTTGTCTCACTTTGCCAAATTTGGGATTTTTGTGGGATTTCTTTAACTATCCTAAAAATATCCAATATTGGGAATCAGTTATTTTTTCCTGTGACACGTATCTTACAAAGCTGTTATTTAAAGGAACCTTTCCACATTCAGGAAGAATTTGGTACTACTATACAACCATGTCCACTAAGGACCAAATCTGTTTTTTTCTAATAGTCCACGATTTGAAAGAAACCAAGCAACTTTTGTACTTAATTCCAAATCTACAAAGGCAATTCGTGTTTTCACTGCATACACAATTGCAACTTATTGACATACAGCCTGTACCTGTCCTCTATCAATGGTAGTAAAATTTGCAACAATTTAGTTACTTGGGAATAGCAAAGGCTATAAACTGACCAGAATACAGTGTACCCAAAACTAATTGCACATGAAATTATTTCATTAATTATGACAAAAAATATTTGCATATTAAGAGCAACGGTCAGGAAATATCGACCATCAAGTGGCAAGAGTTGAAAAATCTATTTCCTTCATTTTTTGTCCATAAATAGCTTTTAGGTAGATAAGTAATCTGATGTAAGTTGTTCTCGCAAAAAGCCTTTTATTTTCGAGAAAAGTAAGAATATTAGTTTTTGTGGTCGGAGTCTGAAAATGGCCGTATTTTCAACCCGAAATTTGTTAACATCAACTCTCCTCGTGTTCGCAAATTTAGGCGCAAGGAGAAATTTGGACACTTTCCATGAACAGAACAACTCTTCTTCTTTCACTAGAAGATACTTTCAAAGCAATATCAAGACTCGTTGAACTGACATAATTCAAAAACGAAGAACAGGTTTTTACGGTGACAAAAACTTTAATTTAGTAGTTGTTTTCTGCGGCATTATTCTTCCTGTGGTATATATAGCTCCAAATTTTCCCAGTCCTCGTTTATTCACACATTTAGACATTCATCTAAAACATACCTGAGAATTGGCTTGGGTTCCTGAAGGCAGCCTCCAAACGAAAGCATCGAAGTCCGGTAAATATAGTGAAGCGTGACCAAAATAACTTATTTAACGGCACCAAATTTCCTCGATCGTAAAGTAACAAGAAGAAATATCTCCCTGTTCCCTCATCCTTAGCGAATTACCATTCTTTAAGTCCTTATTTTTCGATAAAAAGTGAGTACCAGAAAACTAGTGCGTTTGATTTTTTGTTCTTCAAAACTGACTGTCGGCATCGAAAACGTTTAATACTCTTTCAAGAATTGCGTTGCGTTACTACCTTGATTCCGTGACTGTCATTTTGACGGCTCCGTCTCTTCAAATGTATGTTATGTCACGTGCAGTCATGGAACAGATAGTCACGCAGAGTTGCTGGCTGGTAGAGTTCAGTGTTTCAAAGTGGCTAAAATTGACCCAGTTTCACCTTTTTACCCCACTCTTTGGTTGAAAAAAGCAACTTTGCAATGGGAAAACCTACAAGAAGTACGAAAAAAGAGCCTTTAGGCTGTAAATATCTACTTTTGTGCGTTTCGAAATTGGAAGTGTTTACACAATTACCGCCGGCCTACAATGAAAATTCCTGAACTTCGATGGTGTCTTACAGAGATTTCCTTTAATAACCCAAGCCAATTCCCAGGTATGTTTTAAACGAATGTCTAAATGTGTGATTTAAATAGCATGAAGAGAATTTGGAGTTATACCACATGTTAAATATTGCTGTCGAAAATAAGTAATGGACTTAAGTTTTTGTCATCCTGAAAACCCACCCCTCATTTTTTAATTATTTCAAGACGACGAGCTTCGCTATTGCCCTGAAAGTATCTTTTAGTGGAAGAAGAAGAATTTTTCTGTTCATTGAAAGTGTCCAAATTTCTCCTGCGGCTTTGTTTGCGAACGCGAAGAAAGTTGATGTTAGCGAATTTCAGGTTAAAATTTAGGGCAGTCTGAGACTCCGACATCAAAAACCGAACTTCTAATTTTTCTCGTAAATAAAAGGCGTTTGGCAGGAACAACCTACATTAGGTTTCTTATCTACCTAACAGCTATCTATGAACAAAAAATGAAAGAAATTGATTTTCCAACTCTTGCCACAAAATTAAGATTTTGGTCAATTTTTCCTGACCGTCGCTCTCAAAATAAAAATTTATACATGCTCTACTGATGTGACTTACACTGTATCAGTCACCTGGATAATGCAGACATATGGCATGAACCTTTTGTGTCTGTATTAATCAGGTAGCACTGCTGTACCTTCACCTTCTTCTTGCCCTCCCAATGTTGGTGTGTAAGATTTGGGAAACTGCAGTAAACAACATTGGGAGGACAAGGAGATGGGCCAGAAGTATTGCAAAAACAGCATGGAAGAGTCCCAATTATTTTTGTCTGAGACTGTATATAGCCACAGTTTGACTAAATTAAATGGTTAATCATACACTGATGCCTGACAAATACATAACAAGCATCAAACTGTGTTCTAGGGCTTTTTTAAAGGTCTTCAAATATACTTACTTTCCATCATCCTGCCCTCCAAGAGATACTAAGTATTTGTCATTTGGTGAAAAGGCCAATGCCTCCACTTTAACCTTGTGCACAGTGGCAATATTATGCAATATCGATCTCCTCTCAAAATCCCAGATAATAATAACAGCCTTAAATCCCATGTGAGTCTTTTCACCTGAGGCTAGATATTTTCCACTTTTAGAAACAGCTAAACAGGAAACAGCACCATTGTGGCCTGAAAGAAGTTCCTGAGGCAAAGTAGGATCTTCAGGAGTGCATTTACCACCACCTTTGCCCTTTCTGGGCGCTGCTTTTCTTCCTCCGTTATCTTCCTTAATTTCTTCAACGACGATAGTGTTTCCAACGGGATAAATAAGGTGCTCTCTGTCACTGTTTACAAGCAAACCATCTGGTACTTCGCCTGTAAAAATGATCCTACTCGTCAATTCATATTCCAATGTGTACAGAAACGATTCATTAAGAGTTCTGTACTGATCGATCAGAATTAACCGACGTAACCATGAAAGGCACAAGTACATTGCAGGACGAACGCAATCAGCGGCTACAACTTACATCTTTAATTTCTACCTACCTGCAAATCCAATGATCGCATGAAGTTCAAGAGGCTGTATGTCACTCATTGCGACTAATTCAAAACTAGAAACAACCAAAACAGAGGGACAAAAACTGTTTTTTTCTGTCGTCTTCTCTTCTGATTTCAGTTTTTTTCAGTCCGCGTGTTGCTACTGGAAACGTCGTATGTTAGGCAGCTTCCTCCGCTGACTTGATGTACCGCACATTGTCGTTTCCAGTCTTCCAATGCTCTTGGGAGGAAAACTGCATCAGAGCCCGTTTGTACCACACGTGCACATGAACACTTTAAATTTTGTGTATGGGCTCATCTTTTTTAAATATCTGGAAATAAAAATAAGTAAATCTTGAGAAATTTCAACCAAATTCAATACCAAAACTCTTTATACATTTTTTTTTCTCCTCGATAATCCTTGAAAACATTACAGCTTATAAACAAAATTACAGCGTGGAATGTAATTAACCATAATTACATAACAATTTTGTGTCAAAGAATTCAGCGCAGATACCAAACTTCACGAACTGGCATTGCAGCGGGGTAAACTTGGTAGGACTGTAGTGTGTTATGTATTGAGCGGAATTCTAAAAGAGTGCTTTTATAAAAAGGTACATGGCGTTAATTTCAGGGATGGCAGATTTTGCTCATTTAAACGATTATATCTTGCTGGCAACTTTAAATTGCAAAATCTGCTCAATATATTTCACGCTAGAGGTTTTGACTGATCATTTACTAATAAAACCACAAAGTGCTGTCTTCTATTCTTCTGCAAACTTGAACTTGGACACAAATTCACGATTTCCCCGACTCTGGTTTTCATGTAAAGCATTGCGGTAAAGTGCGATTAAGTACCAAAGAAAAAACAACCTTCCTAAACTTGCATCATTACACAAAGTCTCTGTAAAATTTTATCTAAATCGCCTCTAACATAGCCGAGAAATAAGCGTTTTAGGCAATGTAGCACAAGCAAAATTTCGCCTTATGAACAATTATTCATAGATAGGCGTTCCCGCGGCCTTAAGAGGTAAAAAAACAGTTTTTAATAGATCTGTATGTCTTTGGGTATGGAACTAAAAATTAACTAGTAACAGGAGCCCTGATGGGCTCCTGCTAGTAACTGACACGACTGGGTGAAATGAATAACAAATATTAATAGTATTTTTAATCATCAACTAAAGTTAACCCGACAACCGACAAAGATTGAAAATTTTAACCGACTTGTCCACCGACAAAGTAACTGAATTTTAACCGACAACCGACAATTGCACCTCCCCATTCATACCCTCGCAATAGTGAAGGAACGACCTTAACAAAACCGCGAAAATTAAGAAAAATTATACAAAAATCAACGACATTTTGCCGGGCCATTGACGAAAACTGAGTGGTGAGGAAATGCAAATGAGCCGATTGAATGCCCTCGACGAAACAGCGAAAATTACGAAAACTACAAAAATTGCGAAACCCATAATGAAATTTTGCAAGGCCCGTGACGAAAAGTAACGAGGAGATTCAAATGACCCGGTGGAAGGCCCCAGAGAAAACAGAAAATGAGGCCCGGCGAGGAAGGCCTTCAACGGAAACAGCGAAAACTGCAAAAACTAGCGTGCCCTTAATGAGAGGGCCATAAAGGCAAGAGTTTGCAGAAGGTCCCAGGAAAAATATATGACTGACCATTTTCAATTGCAAAAATGCTAACTATATAAGAATAGTAAAATCCAACTAGTGGTCTATTATAAATGCTGCGTTCTGAGCCTACTAGTAGCGAAAAGCGCGGGCTTTTTGGCGGCAAAAGAGGATTAAAGTCTAGCTTTGACTAGCAAAAAGTATTTTATTCTCGATATTTTTGACCAACTAGTTGGATTTTACTAAAACAATTATTCTTCTCGCCCTCATGGCCTCTGAGTCAATAGCCCATTTGGCGTTCGGCCTCATGGGCTATGACTCAGAGCCCATTCGGGCTCGAGGAATAATCGTTAAATACCTAGTTACTTGTATTTCAATAACATAATGTTCATGGAACAAGAATGATTTCTTTGCTGTCATTACATTTCTAATGTATGTGTTATGGTATGTAAGGTCTTAAGTATAGTGCCAAAACCCTTTTGAGGTAAACTAGGTGACACTAAAAAACATGGGTAGGGTTTTCTCTCGCCTCAATGTACAGGACACCGGCATCTCCACACGCTACGCATCGTCTTGGCGTTTATTCGATATTGCAAGGCCCCCTTGGCTCAATGTTTCTCGTATTGGAATCAAAATTTACATGGCGTACTCAGGCGCTTATAGAAAAATTTATAATCTGCAGCGTCGCTTGAAGGATGTCTTTTATTTCCATAACAAAGGGAGAACAGTTGCGACAAAATCGCGAAAAAACGTGAAATTTGTGAATTTTGCAATTTCCGTTAAAAATGTAACATCCGCAGCGTGGCCGCTTTGAGGATCATGTGTCAGGGGCGACGATTTCCTCCTATAAAATATATACGTCAGGAGACGATTACTTAATAATAGTAATCGGCTCCTGTATGCATCCTGTAAATGCATTCTAAGCGGCGCTCAAAAATTGGTATCTGTTCTATCATCCTAGGGGACTTTGAGTCTTTTCGCCGTGATTACAAGGGCTTCAGTGTTAATTGCCCGAAAATTTTAGACGCAATTTATCGTTTTTCGAATGTTAGAATTTTTCTGATTCCTATCTAAATCATATAACCTAATTATAAAATTTTGACAGCTTACATTAAGGTCGGCTAAAATTGAAATTTCTAGATAAATATTCCACTCATCTTTGTAGGGGGTGAATAATACCCTCCGTGAGCTGCAGAATTCGTCATAGCCAAATCTAATAACTATTTCATTATTCATTCAAAATATTTCATCCCCCCACCTCTATCTACGTAAAGTATAATAAATTGCTCCGCTATTTTTGTCATCTCTGTCAAAAGAAGCTGACCTAGGTAGCATTCCGACGCTACTTTTAGAATACTTTGAGTCATTTATAACATTTTTATTAAAATAATAATCTATCACGGCTATTAAAAATTTAGTGTTCGAAATATATTTTCGTTTTAGTCGAATTTAAACATGCAAAATTTTTTTACTTCTTACGGAGGTTATTTGCTGAACACCAAACTTTCAGTAGCTGGTCTAGATCGCGCAAAATTAGGCGTTTATCAATTTCAAAGTTTTTTGTTTATTGTTGTCATAGTGATATCGATTTTACTAAAACCTACATGTTGACAAACTTCAACCTATAGTCAATCATTGGTGAAAATTTTATAGCGATCAGACAAGGATAAAATCACTTTTAAAGCGATTGAAAAATATCGGTATGGCCTCTGAAAAACTATATCGAAACACCTTAATTAGTATACGTTATTATTTCATTAACATGAAAAAGTGCTTCAAGTCAGTACTAATAAATCCTTTCTAGTAATCCCCGCAGTCTCTACAATGAGTTAAACGAAATTGAAGAATTCAAATCTAACCCTCAGTCTAAGTTTTTTTTTTTTAGGTACAGCAATGTATAACTTTACTCATTGGCTGGGAACCTAAGGCGTAAAGATTCTAAAATTTTGGCTCGTCTGATTTCAAATAAGGGGGCACTTAAGGTGACTCGACCCAGTTTTTTTGGGGGGGTACCAACCTACTTTGAAGCTCTCTGGTAACCCCACCTTTACTTTTGTCGTAAGTCTAACACATAGAATGGATAACATATAGATCAATCTGCAATATAACATAAAATTTTTGGCGATCGGAGTAAATGTCACGTGGTTATAATGCCACGCCCCTTTGAGGTCTGAGTCGAAAATCTGCTGTTGCCGGCATTTTTTCGTGAAAATCTCTCGGCTACACATAGTGCGCATTAGTGCCTTGCGCTGAACAGAGTTTCACCAAAATCGCAAAGACCCAAATCGACAAATTCAGCGGTTTCCAAATTTAGGTCATAATTTATGCCAAAATGATAAGCAAACTTTACACGTATTATATCTAATAAACTATGAGATTAATCTCTGTATTTTGGGCATCGTTATAACAGATGGATCCTTGCAAGTCAGCAAAACGCTTTAGGGCCTTGTAAATGCGCGCGATTTCGAGCAAAGCAAACATACAGAAATTATAGTTTTCGCTATTTGTTGACATTTGTCAGCGTTTAAGAGCCAATCTCACGAAAAAAGCATTTTCTTAAAAAAATCGTAGTTTTTTTTCCTTCAAATTTTTTCAGGGCCACAATTGATTAACAAACTACCCGGACGCTGAATTTCATGGTCATTGAAAAACTGTAACATTATCTTCTATGAGCCGAAACGTGAGTAAACATTGAAGATTTTTAGCGTTTTGGCTGAGTTTGTGCTTTGGGATTTGTCTATTGTTTCTAGTCTGTCATGATACAGCATTCTTGTTCAGCACGCGTGCAATGACCGCGCATTGCTGACTTCCAAATGCTCAGTGAGATATGATAATTTTGGTACAGTGAAACAGGCCATCGCGTGATACATAGAGGTTTAACTCACAATTTTTAATCAATTCTCGTGCTTCTTGTGTCTTTGCCAAAAAATGAAGAAGTGCTACACACTAAATCTACTTACTATTAAAAAAATATCATTTTTCATAGGTTTAATGCAAGCCAATAATTAAACCAACTCGTGACGGGAATCCCTTCTATTTTCTTATACTAAATTATCATATCTCGGTGAGCATTCGGAAGTCAGCCAAGCGTGGTCATTGCACGCATGCTGAACAAGAATGCTGTATAATGACAGACTAGAAACAATAGACAACTCCCAAAGCACAAACTCAGCACGCTAAAAATCTTCAATGTTTACTCAAGTTTGGGCTTATAGAAGGTAATGTCACAGTTTTTCAATGACCATGAAATTCAGAGTCCGGGTAGTTAGTTAATCAATTGTGGCCCTGAAAAAATTTGAAGGAAAAAAAACTACGAATTTTTAAGAAAATGCTTTCTTCGTGAGAAAGACTCTTAAACGCTGACAAACGTCAACAAATAGCGAAAACTATAATTTCTGTATGTTTGCTTTGCTCGAAATCGCGCGCATT